TCCACCTGCCTCGGCTTCCCAAAGTGCTGGGATTACAGGCGTGAGCCACCACACCCGGCCAGGAAGTTCTTAAAAAACAAATAAAGAAAAAGAAAATTAGAAAAGAAAGATTCAGCCAGGTGCAGTGGCTCACACCTGTAATCCCAGAACTTTGGGAGGCTGAGGCTGAAGGATTGCTTGAGGATAGGACTTTGACACTAGCCTGGGCAACATAGCAAGACCCCCATCTCAACAAAAAAGTTCAAAATTAGCTAGGCATGGTGGTGCACTCCTGTAGTCCCAGTAACTCTGGAGGCTGAGGCAGGAGGATCACCTGCGCCCAGTAGTTCAAGGCTGCAGGGAGTTATGATGGCTCCACTGCACTCCAGCCTGGCCAACAGAGTGAGACCCTATCTCTAAAAAAAAAAAGAAAGAAAGATTCTTGGCACATCAAGAAGGAAAAACACTCAAAGAAAAGAGCAAAAACATAAGTACATAAAATAGACTCTCCTTTTCCTCATGAGTTTTATATACCATATTTGATGATTGAAACAAAAATTATAATACCATCTGATACTAAGGCAATGATATTTAAAAGTTATATGTATTATATTATACATATATTAAAAGATATATATATATATGTGGTCTGAATTCATACAAAACTCATACATTAAATCCTAATCTCCAGAGCAATAGTATTAAGAGGTGGGCGTATAGGAGGTGAATAGATTATAAAGGCTCCTTGCTCCTAAGTAGGATTTAGTGATGTGACCTTATAAAAGAGGCCTGAAGGAGCTTGTTGTCCACTTACGCTATGTGAGGAGACATAGATGGCACCATCCATGAGGAATGGGTCCTCATCAGACACTGAATCTGCTGCCAGCTTGATCTTGGATTTCCCAGACTCCAGAATTGTAAGCAGCCCATTTCTGTTGTTTACAAATTACCCAGTCTATGATATTTTTAGAGAGCAGACTAAACAAAGGAAGACGATATGTTTTTCTTATTCAGGTACCATAAGGCCAACAGATCAGTAGATAACTGCCGTTGAAAAGATAGTTTGGGCCAGGTGTAGTGGCTCACGCCTGTAATCCCAGCACTTTGGGAGGCCGAGGCGGGTGGATCACGAGGTCAAGAGACCGAGACCATCCTGGTCAACATGGTGAAACCCTGTCTCTACTAAAAATACAAAAAATTAGCTGGGCATGGTAGTGCGTGCCTGTAATCCCAGCTACTCAGGAGGCTGAGGCAGGAGAATTGCCTGAACCCAGGAGGCGGAGGTTGCAGTGAACCGAGATCACACCACTGCACTCCAGCCTGGGTAACAAGAGCGAAACTCCGTCTCAAAAAAAAAACCAGACATCATTAAGTCACAGTAGACTGTGATAAGAGACTAAGAGACATGTGTATTTTAATACCCAGAGCAATCACTATGAAAACTGTACAAGGAAGGAGATACACTCAAAAACGTCACATAAATCAAAGAATTCTAAAAAGCGTCCAAGTAATCCCACAGTAAGACAAGAAAAACAAAGGACCTAGGACCAAAGAAAACAAACAGAAAACAAATAATAAAATGAAAAACGCAAGTGTTAACATCGCAATAAATGCCTTATATGTATATGGTCTAAATATGCCAATTAAAAGACGACATTTAGCCGGGCTGGGCGGCTCACACCTATAGTCCTGACATTTTGGGAGGCTGAGGCAAGAGGATTGCTTGGGTCCAGGAGTTCAAGACCAGCTCAGATAACATAGCCAGACCTCATCTCTACAAAAAAAATCTAAAATTAGTCAGGTGTGGTGGTGCATATCTGTGGTCCCAGCTACTCAGGAGGCTGAGGTGGGAGGATCATTTGACCCCAGGAGGTCAAGGTGGCAGTGAACCGTAATTGCATCATGCACTCCAGCCTGGACAACAAAGCAAGACCCTGTTTCTACAAAAATTTTTTAAAAATTATTCAGGCAGCCGGGTGCAGTGGGTCATGCCTGTAATCCCAGCACTTTGGGAGGCCAAAGTGGGCAGATCACAAGGTCATGAGATCAAGACCAGCCTGGCTAACATGGTGAAGCCTCATCTCTACTAAAAAGTACAAAAAATTAGCTGGGCATGGTGGCATGCACGTATAATCCCAGCTACTCGGGCAGCTGAGGCAGGAGAATCACTTGAACCCAGGAGGCAGAGGTTGCAGTAAGCCAAGGTTGTGCCATTGCACTCCAGCCTGGGAGACAGAGCAAGACTCTGTCTCGAGGAAAAAAACAATATTCAGGCATACTGGCATGTGCCTGTAGTCCTAGCTACTCCAGACACTAAGGTGTTAAGTATGGCTTAAGCTCAGGAGATCAAGGCTACAATGAGCTGTGATCACTCCACTGTCCTCCAGCCTCGATGACAAAATGAGACCTTGGCTCAAAAACAACAAAACACATAATGGGCCAGACCTGGTGGCTTACACCTATAATTCTGGCACTCTAAGAGGCTAAAGCAGGAGGATTGCTTGAGGCCAGGAATTTGACCATCCTGGTCAACATAGTAAGACCCTGTCTCTACAGAAAAATTAAAAAATTAGCTGGGAGTAGCAGTGCACACTTGTAGTCCAAGTTACTCAGGAGGCTCAGATTGGGAGGATCACTTAAGTCTGGAAAGTCAAGGCTGCAGCCAGATTTCACCACTGCACTCCAGCCTGGGTAACAAAGTGAGAGCCTGTCTCAAATAAATAAATACATACATAAACTGGTAATTCAAAAAGTTTGCTCACACCTGTAATCCCAGCACTTTTGAAGGCTGACATGGGTAGATCACCTGAGGTCAGGAGTTCAAGACCAGGCTGACCAACATGGTGAAACCCTGTCTCTACGAAAAATACAAAAATTAGCCGGGCATGGTAGCATGTGCATGTAACCCCAGCTACTCAGGAGGCTGAAGCAGGAGAATTGCTTGAACCCGGGAGGCAGAGGTTGCAGTGAGCTGAGATCAAGCCACTGCACTCCAACCTGGAGCAAGACTCCGTCTCAAAAAAAAGAAGTCTCATCAAGTTAGGAATAGAAGAGAATGAGCTCAACTTCATAAAGAGCATCTACAAAAAACCTACAGCTGCCATCACATTATTGGTGAAAGACTGAATTATTTCTTCCTAACATAGGGAGCAAGAATATCTTCTCTCACCATTCTTTTTCTTTTTTTAGACGGGGTCTCACTCTGTCATGTAGGCCGAGTGCAGTGGCAAGATATGGCTTACTGCAGTCTTGACCTCCCAAGTGGCTGGGACCACAGGTGTGTGCCACCATGCCTGGTTGATTTTTGCATTTTTTGTAGACACAGGGTTTCACCATGTTGCCCAGGCTGGTCTCCAACTCCTGGACTCACATGATCCTTTTCCTTGGCCTCCCAAAGTGCTGGAATTATAGGTATGAGCCACTGTGCCCGGCCTTCTCTCACCATTCTTATTCAACATAGTACTAAAAGTTCTAGTCACCATATAACAAAAGGAAGGGAATACAAGCATACAGATTGTAAAGGGAAAACTAAATGACATGATTGTCTATGTAAAATATCCCAAGAAATCTACAGAAAAAAAAACAACTGGAATTCATTAGGGAGCTCAGTGAGATTGCTGAATACAAGATCAACAAGCAAAAACAAGAAAGAGCTGGGTGTGGTGGCATGCACCTGTAATCCCAGCTACTCCAGAGGCTAAGGCAGGAGGATCGTTTGAGACCAGGAGTTTGAGACCAGCCTAGGCAACATAGCAAGACCCTATTTCTACCAAAAAAGAATTGGTCAAGCATGGTGGCAAGCATCAGTAGTCTCAGCTATTTGGGAGGATCCCTTGAGCCCAGGAGTTCAAGGCTGCAGTAAGCTATGACTGTGTCACTGTACTCCAGCCTGGGTGACAGAGGGAGACCCCATCTCTAAAAAAAAAAGATCAACAAGCAAAACAATCACACTGCATACTAACAATAAACACATAGAAACTGAAATTTAAAATACAATACAACTAGGCCAGGTGCGGTGGCTCACGCCTGTAATCCCAGCACTTTGGGAGGCTGAGGCGGGCAGATCATGAGGTCAAGAGATCGAAACCATCCTGGCCAATATGGTGAAACCGTCTCTACTAAAAATACAAAAATTATCTGGGTGTGGTGGCGCACACCTGTAGTCTCAACTACCCGGGAGAATCACTTGAACCCAGTAGGCGCAGGTTGCAGTGAGCCAAGATTGTGCCACTGCACTCCAGCCTGGTGACAGAGCGAGATTTCATCTCAAAAATAAATACAATACAATACAGTACAATACAGCACAACTTACAATTAGTCCTTTTAAAAAAAGGAAATATATGGGTGTACACCTAACAAAACTTATACGGAGGATCTATATGATAAAATTATGAATTCCCGATAAAATTTTAAAAACACTACATAAATGGAGAGGCATGCTGTGTTCATGGATTGGAAAGCTCAACACAGTAAATATGCCAATTTTCAGGCCAGGCACGGTGGCTCATGCCTGTAATCCCAGCACTTTGAGAGGCTGAGATGGGTGGAATTCCTGAGCTCAGGAGTTCAAGACCAACCTGGGCAACATGGCAAAACCCCAACTCTACAAAAAAAAAAAAAAATTAGCTGGGCGTGGTGACACCTGCCTGTGGTCCCAGCTACTCAGAAGCTGAGGTGTGAGGATTACTTGAGTCTGGGAGGTGGAGGTTGCAGAGAATCAAGATTGCACCACTGCACTCTAACCCAGGTGACAGAGTGAGACCCCATCTCAAAAAAAAAAGATGCCCATTTCCCCTAAAGGGGATACCTAAGTTTAATGCAATTCCTATCAACATCCCAACAAAGATTTTTTACAGACATAGACAGTAATTTTTTCAAGTGTATATGGAATGACAAAGGAACTAGAACATCTAAGGCAATTTTAAGAAAGAACAAAGTAGGAGGAATCATTCTACTCAGTATTAAGGCTTACTATATAGCCACATTAATCAAGACAGTGTGGTATTGGTGGAGGAATTGGCACATAAATCAATGAAACAGAATAGAAAACTCAGAAGAAGACCCACATATGGGCAGTTTATTTTGAGAAAGTTACAAAAGCACTTGAATGGAGAAGGATAGTCTTTTCAACAAATGGTGCTGGAGCAAGTGGAGATCCAAAGGGAAAAACGGAGCCTGAAACTCAAGTCACATATTACACAAAAGTTAATGCAAAATGTAAAACTGTGTAACTTGTAGGAAAAAGACAGAAAAAAAGTCTTTGAAATCTAGAGATGGGCAGAGGTCTTTTGTTTTTTTTCAGACGGAGTTTCGCTATTGTCACCCAGGCTGGAGTGCAGTGGCGAGATCTCGGCTCACCGCAACCTCCACTTCCTGGGTTCAAGTGATTCTCCCACCTCAGCCTCTGTTGAATAAATCTCTTCAAATATTTTACAGAGTTCGACTCTTTTCACAGACAGGGTAAACGCACTTTACAGTGGCTTTGAGTGAGTTTGGCATGCTAGCTGGGACTACAGGCCTGCATCACCAGTCCTAATTTTTGTATTTTTGGTAGAGATGGGGTTTCACCATGTTGGCCAGGCTGGTCTCCAACTTCTGACCTCAAGTGATCCGCCAGCCTCAGCCTCCCAAAGTGCTGGGATTACAGGTGTAAGCCACTGCGCCTGGGTGAGATGGGCAGAGTTCTTAAACTTGACACCAAAAGCGTGATCTGTAAAAGGAAAACTTGATCAGTTGTTCCTCATCAAAATTTAAAACTTTCATTCTATAAAATCTCATGTGAAAAAGAAAAAAAAAACAAGAAAAAAATACATATATATAAATCTCATGTGAAGGTGAAGGTGAAAAGACAAGTTACAGCTTGGGAGAAATATTGGCAAATTATACATCTCATAAAACCATTACAAAGATAATAAGGGGATAATATTATAAAATATAAAGTATTGCAGATTGTGAAGGTTCTGGCCTTCTTTTTTTTTTAATTTTTTTATTTTACTTTATTTTTTAAAATAAAGATGGGCTTTCACCATGATAACCAGGCTGGTTCTGAACCTCGACCTCAGGTGATCCACCCACCTCAGCCTCCCAAAGTGCTAGGATTACAGGCATGAGCCACCACGCCTGGCCACAAATAAGACATTTTATTTGCCACACATTTTATTTGCCACTATTATAAGTCTGAACTTTAAACAGATTCTTGGACTGGTGGTTCATATCCATCAGCTCGTTCAACTTTAGCACCTATCTCATCCCCAGTGGCTTTTCCAGAACTACTGCCTTCACCATGAAGCTCCATGAGTTTTCCCAATTCAAACTTGGGCTTCTTCAGCATTTTTACTTTTCTAACGAAGACATCATGGAAAGCATAAATAGAGTGGCAAGCCTTTTCTATGTCTTTCCCAATGCTGTCTGGAATCAATTTACTGACCACTTCTTTCAAGTCATTTATCTGCACCTCTCGGGTCATGATTTCCATCAACTTCTTCCGGATTTGGCGGACCTGTTGGTGCTGAGCATAGGAGGTCTTCCGTATCCGATTGTTGCGTTTTTTAGTAAAACCAACACAGAACAGACGAAGCAAGTAACCATCAGTAGTCTTGACATCAACATGAGCTTCAGTAATGATTTAAGCTGCCATTTTTTGACCATGGAACACATTTTGTCACGGGTAAGATCCATGCCATGGAAGTTAGTCAGGCAGTTTTTGCCCTGAACATCTTCAGTAACCAGCTTGAATTTCCTAAATGCAACTTCATCGTTCTGCAAATCAGCAAGACTAACTTCAAACACTCGACCCTTGAGGCCATCAGATGCAATTTTGGTTCCTTGGGTCCTGGTGACTAGCGTCTTTCCAATATTTCTTACATTGAGCATAGCGGGTGCTTTCGCATCATACCAATCTTTCTTAGAAAATGGATCAACCACTTTCTTCTTGGCTCCCTTTTTGCCGCCTTTCGTAAGGCGCTTGTTCTTGCCAACCGCCATGGTGCTGCTCAGAGAGTCAAAAGGGCAGGTTCTGGCCTTCTTAAGAGATGACCCCACTGCTCCTAGAGATGATCTGACCCTGGAAAGCAAAGGAATAGCTTCTTCAGTTTGAATACCTGAAAAATAGAAAAGAATATAAATAAAAGGTCATCAGCTGCCTGAAATGAGCCAACTACTTGGCATCCTTTGATTGGAAGATTCTGTATAATGTGGGCCTTGTCCATTTGACCATGCAGCAGTATGCGTCAGCTTTTCATTTTCTCAGTGTGGCCACTAACTTGAAGCCAAAGATGGGGGAGCTCTGCATGCTTTTGGCGGGTACTTTGATGGAAACCCGGAGAAGCTCTTGGCTGAGTGTTATGTAATTAATCCAAGTAAAAAGTCTCAGACACACCAGATAGATACAAGGTCATCAGCACAGGATATGCCTTGTCAGATCTGCTACTTGAACTGTCCTAATTCAGTTTTGGGGTACATGTGAAGAACATGCGAGACTGTTGCATAGAGGTATCCGATTTCAGACTTGGTGAAACCAGACCAGCAGCTACATGATTCAACTTGGGATCAATGGTACTCATAAGCTTCAGCAACTGATCTGTGGCAAGAGACTGAGAGTTCAAGTTTGCTCCAGGAAGCCCAAGTGCAGCAAGGTCAAGATCAAGAGTAGGAGCCCCCCAAGTAGTCAGTGAAACAGTGCCAATCTGGGTAAGTGGGTTAGGAGTAGGCAGAAGTCCACCATGGAACAGAAGACCTGCCACTGCATTAGCTGGTGCCAACAGAGACAAAGCCTTAGCCTCATCAGGAATAACTCCTTCTGCATATGGTATGACTGTTAAGCTCTATCGACGAATACAGTGTTTGTCAGATGCTGTGCCACAGCTACTGAGTCTGGATCAAGGAACTTAACAAAGCAGACATGAGATGAGACTGGCAAAGGTGAATCATCCGGCAGGATGTACAGTTTGTCGATCTTGCCTAGGAAACCGAAGAGTCCGCATCTGCTCAGAGCTAGCGCTTGGGGAGACATTAGTCACCTGGATTACCTCGGTGCCGCCGCCTCTGCCACCACCACCTCCGCCACCGGGCCCGCCACTGGGGCCCGGACCCACAGTGCTAGGGACGTCGGTAGTGTTGCTCATGATGCTGCTCGGTTTCTTGCTCCTGCTTTAACACATCAAACACACAACAAACAGTGAGAAGGGGGAAGAGGAACCGGTTTGCAGGAGAGGAGGGTGTCCGATGCTACAGCCGCTGCTGTTTCTCCTCCCTGCCCCCGCTCCCCCACCACCACACGCTGCCAGGGAGGGGAAGAGACTTTGCTGGTCTTTAAGCAGAAAATCTGATTGTTTTCATAATATTTCTTTGGTTTCTAGTGCTTTTGAATCTTTTTGATATGTTATTGGCCATTTTTATTCTTGTGGGAAGTGCCTGTTTCTCCATTGCCTATTTTCTGGCCAAGCTCCAAAGTCACATTTCACTTAATTTTTGTCTTGCTGATTGAAAGCATGTGAACTTAGTGATTTTAATGTAAACAGGAGCAGGGCAAACTGTAATTATATAAGTCTCACTTTGTCACCCAGGCTGGAGTACAGTGACATGATCATAGCTACCAAAAACTCGAACTCTTGGGCTCAAGCAATTTTCCTACCTCAGCCTCGCAAGTAGCTAGGACTACAGGTGTGCGCCACCACACTCAGCTAATTTTAAAATTTTTGTAGAGATGTGAATTTGCTATGCTTCCCAGGCTGGTCTTGAATCCCTGACTTCAAGTAATCCTACCACCACGGCTTGCCAAAGTGCTGGGATTGCAGGCATGAACTACTGCTCCTGGTTGAGAACTGACTTTTGTTTGCTAGTGGTGTGCTTGGTATCTTTTCGTATTTGAGACTTTGGTGCTAGTGCTGAAATATTATACTCACCGTGGGAGGTTTACGGGACTTTTGTTTTCATATTGAACAGATGGAACTGTTCAGTTCTGCATTATTGCAGGTATACAAAATGTGCCTACCAGGACTCTGCTTTATATTCATTGGAAGCAAGAAGTAATACAGTAAAACTTTGCAAGGCTAGAGGCTTTGAAAGAATGAAATGTTCTGGTTTAATTCTATTTTCTGAGAAGTACAAAGGTGAAAAAAACTCAAAACTTACATTTCCTGTTGAATGCAATTTAAAAATATTAGCCAATGATTCCACTTTTCTTCTCTAGAAAATGTGGACATTCTGAGCTACTTGGTGTGCCTGAGAGTTTTATTGTGCAGATACTTTTTAAAAATGTTTTAAAATCAGTTCTCTCAATGAGAACTGATATTATAAATACACTTTTTAGACTAAAAAAAAAAAGGTACAACCCCTCCGGAAGATGGTCTGGTAAGTTTCTTATAAAATTAAACATATGATGCAGCAATTGCGTTCTTGGGCACTTAATCTAGAGAAATGAAAATCGGCCAGGCAAGGTGAGTCATGCCTGTAATCCCAGCACTTTGGGAGGCTGGAGCAGGCAGATCACTTGAGCCTGGTAGTTTGAGACCAACCTGGGCAACATGTCAAAACCCCTCTCTCTACAAAAAACTAAAAAATTAGCCAGGCGTGGTGCCGCATGCCTGTGGTCCCAGCTACTCAGGAGGCTGAGGTGGGAGGATTGTTTGAGCCCAGGAGGTTGAGGATGCCTCAAGCCATGATGGAGTCACTCCTGTCACTCACTGCCCCAATACTGCATATCTAACCCCCACAGAGCCCATCACCCAGCATGCAGGATCCCAGAACCCCCAGCACTCCGACCACAGATTCCTCATCATTGTATTCATAGGCCATATCATTACTCACCAAACAGACCCCATCACTCACCCTGCAAACCCCCTTTAGGTCTCTCAGAGTCATAAGGACTTTCCTTATTTCTGGTACCTCAATGTTAATGTGGGGTAGACGACATGGCTTTGTCCGTGGGTAGCTTCTAGGTGATGGCTGCCATCTCAGGCAGTTTCCATTTGGTACAACAGAAGCACTCCCTCTGCCACCATGGTCAGGGGTAATCTGTTACACAGCAATACATGACTGAAATACACACACACACAGTCACACACACATACATATAAGGAAATACAATCACAGATGCACAAGGACATACGGTCAATAGTAGATATAACCAGGCACGGTGGCTCATACCTGTAATCCCACCACTCTAGGAGGCTGAGGTGAGCAGGTTGCTTGAGCTCAGGAGTTCCAGACCAGCCTGGACAACATAGGGAGATCCTGTCTCTACAAAAAATACAAAAACTAGCTGAGCTGGTACTCAGTAGGCTAAGGTGGGAGGATGGCTTGAGCTGGGGAGATCAAGGCTCCAGTGAGCCGAGATTGCGCCACTGCACTCCAGCCTGGGTGACACAATGGGACCCTATCTCAAAAATAAATAAGAAGGACTGGGCACCGTGGCTCATGCCTGTAATCCCAGCACTTTGGGAGGCGAGGCAGGTGGATCACCTGAGGCCAAGAATTCAAGACCAGCCTGACCAATATGGTAAAACCCCATCTCTACTAAAAATACAAAAATTAGCCAGGTGTGGTGGTGCATGCCTGTAATCCCAGCTACCTGGGAGGCTGCGGCAGGAGAACTGCTTAAACCCGGGAGGCGGAGGTTGCAGTAAGCTGACTTCGTGCCATTGTACTCCAGCCTTTTAAAAAGTTCTTATTGGGCTGGGCGTGGTGGCTCACGCCTGTAATCCCAGCACTTTGGGAGGCTGAGGTGGGTGGATCACGAGGTCAAGAGATCGAGACCATCTTGGTCAACATGGTGAAATGCTGTCTCTACTAAAAATACAAAAAATTAGCTGGGCATGGTGGCGCGTGCCTGTAATCCCAGCTACTCGGGAGGCTGAGGCAGGAGAATTGCCTGAACCCAGGAGGCGGAGGTTGCGGTGAGCCGAGATCGTGCCATTGCACTCCAGCCTGGGTAACAAAAGCGAAACTCCGTCTCAAAAAAAAAAAAAAAAAAGTTCTTATTAAGGAAACTTAAGACACATGAATCAAAGGTAATAAAAAGTATAATAACTTTTACTATCACAAGTTTCAACAATTTTCATGAGAATGATCTTAAAATCCAACATACATCACACTTATGCATATATGGTTCTTAGGTCTCTGTAATTGACTTTATGTATTTTTATAGTTTTATGTCTTTGAGTTATCCAAATGCCACACTGTGAAACACAGTTCCAACACTCCAACCTCTGTCTCCCCAACCCCATGCCCAACCCCACCCCACCCGACTGCCTCCCTTGCCGCTCCCGCACCTGCGCCCCACTTGCTAGAGAAGCTGCACCTTGGAAGGCGTCACTGTGGACAGATGGACAGATGGACAGCACCCAAGCACGTGAAGGAGCAAGACCCCTGTGGCCACCGAGGCCATATTGGCTGTGGGCAAACTGAGGCATCACAGCTGCTAAGGAGGATGTGAAAGACAGCAATTATATAAGCCAGGAATGAGAGATGGGGCCAGGTGCAAGGCAGAAGGGGTCTTTGTGACAGCGACTCACCTAGACACTAGCCTGTGTCGGGAATGGTGACTTTGCTTAGGGATGGGGCAAGGGAAAGCCAAGTTGTGGCTATCTGTGGGGTCACTAATAGAGAGTCTTCAGGGTGAGGAATGAGGGGCGACTGGGGTGAGTGGGTGTATGTCAGGTCCATGTTTTGATAAAGCTTTACTTTTTCTGAATTATTTTCCTGTGTTATATCACAAATGATATGTTGAGATACGGCTTTCTTTTTTTTACCCTTAATTTAGATGAGACAATCTTCTCTGTCACGCAGGCCGCAGTGCGGTGATGTGATCTCACCTCACTGCAACCTCTGCCTCCCAGGTTCAAGTAATTCTCCTGCCTCAAATTAAAAAAATTTTGAAAAAGTTTTTCAAATTATTTATTTGTTTGTTTATTGAGACAGAGTCTCACTTTGTCCCCCAGGCTGGAATGCAGTGGCACTATCTAAGTTCACTGCAACCTCCCCCTCCGGGGTTCAAGCGATTCTCCTGCCTCAGCCTCCCATGTAGCTGGAAGCAAAGGCGCACAACCACATCCAACTAATTTTTTTTTTTGTACTTTTAGTAGAGACGGGTTTTTGCCATGTTGGCAAGA